AAAACTGCTGAACTTTATTGATGACTTTATAGTTCTTTGACCCCTCCCCCACTTAGCCATTATTTTCTTTTCTTTTCAATCTAATTGAAAAGAAAATTAAAAATAGTTTTGTTGAATTTCTAAGCTTAATAGATTGTTTTGATTCATTTTAAATCTAATCTGCTTTCATGTATCTTCTTGTGTTTGAGTAAAATATTTAATTTAATTTAATCTTTTATTTTTTGGTTTTACTTCCGTGTGGAGTTCAGAAAGTTTGACGGGGCGTTGTCTGTTTCGTCTGGACCAATAGGAGGAGGTCACGTGTGAGCCGTGGACCAATCACAGTGGTCCTTTTGTTCCTCGGGGCTCCGGGAGTATAAATAGTTCGGGCTAACGGCTGCACCCTTCACTTCGCTCCAGACACAGGACAGATTGAGTCTTGTTGCCAGAAGCAAATCAACGTCGCGTCGTTCTCTAACTCTTCAGTGTTCCAGGAAACATGGTGAGTAGGAGAAACTCTGTCTGAATCATGTGCTCACAAATATCCGCAGTTTAGTTCGACTCGGCTCCAGAAGCAGCTTCAACACAGGGAGCGAACATGGCGACGCTCCAAAGGGACCAAAGTGCGAGAACGTGTGTTTGTGTGTGGATGTAGTGGAGCTGGAACAAGAAGCAGCTGAGATTCAGGAGGAGCCGTAGTTTCCTGCTCCTCCTGTCCGGACGCTGATCCAGTTAGCGGAGCTCTCTGAGCTCTCAGCCGCGAACAGGCCCGTTTTACCGCCTCTTTCAAACAACTGCCTCGGGGGGGGGGGAGGGGAACTTATAGCGCAAGGTGCAGGAGGTGAAAGTGTCCCCGAGCTCAGCTGCTGCACCGGGTCCCTCTGTGAGAGCAGCCCAGACCGGGTGCTAGTTCTCTGTCAGTGGACTGAGGCAGTGAAGWCTCTGAAGTGACGCAGGCCTCTTGTCTAATCCACCCGTGAGGCTTCAAGGCCTCTGAGACTCCAACCACAGGCTTTTCAAACTAAACCGTCCTGTGAGAAGCTGCTGCTCTTTGCACATCTCATCTCTCAGGGTTTGTTTGACTTCAGCTGTGTTTGGTCAAAGTCTTTTTTAATTTTAAGCTGATGATACATTTTCTTTGTCCTCCAAACAAGTTTTTTTTTCCCCCCTCCTCCCTCAACCACATGTCTGAATAATCAGCTGCTCTGTGGTATTTTAGTCGATGAAGGATTTTCTGCTCAGAGGGTAAATAATGAATGTACAGCATCTGTCAGGTGACTCTATTCATGGTGATCTTCACAAAGAGCTTCTTTCTTCTTCAGATCATGCATTAGCTCCAGGAACAGTCCACAACATGTGATTTCTAGCTCGAAGCTTGTTTTTTACTGACTAAGCCCTTTTTTATTTTCCTCCTCGGTTTCATAAATAGATAAATGCACGCGGTTGAATAATAGTTCTYTTCTTTCCACAGCGTGAGTGTATCTCCATCCACGTTGGTCAGGCCGGWGTCCAGATTGGCAATGCCTGCTGGGAGCTTTACTGCCTGGAACATGGGATCCASCCRGACGGACAGATGCCCAGCGRCAAGACCATCGGAGGAGGAGACGACTCCTTCAACACCTTCTTCAGTGAGACCGGAGCTGGGAAGCACGTCCCCAGAGCTGTTTTCGTCGACCTGGAGCCCACTGTCATCGGTAAACTGTCATRAAATGTAGAAACCAGGGTGACTCTGATTTCCTTAAATCAAAGTGTTGAGTCATTTCTGACTGACTCTGTCTCTTCAGATGAAGTGCGCTCTGGAACCTACCGCCAGCTGTTCCACCCTGAGCAGCTGATCACCGGAAAGGAAGATGCTGCCAACAACTACGCCCGTGGACACTACACCATCGGCAAAGAGATCATCGACCTGGTGCTGGACAGGATCCGCAAACTGGTACTTAATTGATTCTTGAWSGATTTGATGCTGGATTTGTTCCCTCATGGTTGATTAACCTGTTGGTAAACTGCATCAGTTAATTTTTCTTAATTTTGACAGAAAACATCAAACTAAATCATAATATTGTCTCATATTTAATCTGCCTCTCTGTCTGTCTTCAGGCTGACCAGTGCACTGGTCTTCAGGGCTTCCTGGTTTTCCACAGCTTCGGAGGAGGCACCGGCTCTGGCTTCACCTCCCTGCTGATGGAGCGTCTGTCYGTCGACTACGGCAAGAAGTCMAAGCTGGAGTTCTCCATCTACCCCGCCCCCCAGGTGTCCACCGCTGTGGTGGAGCCCTACAACKCCATCCTGACCACCCACACCACCCTGGAGCACTCTGACTGTGCCTTCATGGTAGATAACGAGGCCATCTACGATATCTGCCGCAGGAACCTGGATATCGAGCGTCCCTCCTACACCAACCTGAACAGGCTCATCAGTCAGATCGTGTCCTCCATCACTGCTTCCCTCCGTTTTGATGGTGCCCTCAATGTYGATCTGACMGAGTTCCAGACCAACTTGGTGCCATATCCCCGTATCCACTTCCCTCTGGCCACCTACGCTCCCGTCATCTCTGCTGAGAAGGCCTACCATGAGCAGTTAACRGTGTCYGAGATCACAAACGCCTGCTTCGAGCCAGCCAATCAGCTGGTGAAATGTGACCCTCGCCACGGTAAGTACATGGCYTGCTGCCTCCTGTACCGTGGAGATGTGGTGCCCAAAGATGTCAACGCCGCCATCGCCACCATCAAGACCAAACGCTCCATCCAGTTTGTGGACTGGTGYCCCACTGGTTTCAAGGTCGGCATCAACTACCAGCCCCCCACTGTGGTTCCTGGTGGAGACCTGGCCAAGGTCCAGAGGGCCGTGTGCATGCTGAGCAACACCACTGCCATCGCTGAGGCCTGGGCTCGCCTTGACCACAAGTTTGATCTCATGTACGCCAAGAGGGCCTTCGTTCACTGGTACGTGGGTGAGGGTATGGAGGAGGGAGAGTTCTCMGAGGCCAGAGAGGACATGGCAGCTCTGGAGAAAGATTACGAGGAGGTCGGAGCTGATAGTTTGGGAGATGATGATGAGGAAGGGGAGGAGTATTAAACACATGCATTCCATTGTTTTTAAGGGTTTGTAAACTGTTACAACCACTGTTACTTTGCTCTACACGTTCAAAAATGTAGAAGAGAACTGTTTGCAACATTAAATAAATTTRWGRRYTSKTACAACCACTGTTACTTCGCTCTACACGTTATAAAATGTAGAGAACTGTTGATTGAATAAATTTAAGGGTTCGTAAACTGTTACAACCACTGTTACTTCGCTCTACACGTTAWAAAATGTAGAAGAGAACTGTTTGCAACATTGAATAAATTTAAGGAAGTATTAAACCCAGTCTACTGACCACTTTTTGAAGTGTGTGTGTGGGGAAAAAAGTTTGGAAATGAAACCAGGCTGCTCAGTTTAGCCACTTGAGGGCAGTGGTGTTCAGCAGCTGATGACTCCACGTTTCAAACATTAATTGTTGCAGGTCAGATAAACCTGATTCACTGTGACTGTGCAGCATTTTCTCTCTTTACTTCACCACCTTCAGGTTTCATTTGTATTTTTTTAAGTGATTGTTTCCTCCCGAGAACAAAACAGACAGTGTCCCTGTTAGACAACAGAGGGTGTGGACGGTGACGTCTCCTGCTGGCGGACGGGCGGTGTTTAGAAAATACTTAGTTCTGCTGTTGCTATCCTGGATCTGACACTTCTGACTCATTCATAAAACATTACACGTTCAAAAATGTTGTAAAAGTTTTTATTTAATCTGAGGTTTGTAGTTTTGGACAGGGTCAGCCACACAAACACTGTTGTCAAATTCAATGATGATATTTAGTTTTATTAAATGCACTAAAACTGACAGAAAGGCCTTCTGCATTACACTGACCCGTGTGAAGACTAGTCTTATTGCACTTGCTGTTGAGTCAATCAGTTTGGTGCATGAACAGATGCAGAATTGCCAGTTGAAACTGATTTCCAAATATAACAATATAGCAGATTTATAAAAGGTGCAGATTGCAGATTTTTCTTAATTCCATGACAACGGTGCATAACCAGTGGTCTGTGCTCATTTGAAAACTCAGAGGGGAAAAAAGATTTCAGCTAAGAACCTCACTTTTGGAAAAACCCACGTATTCACGGCTAAACGAACATGGGGACAATATTAAACGGCACATCTGAAGAGTGTTCCTCTCAGTGTAAGACACGGCGTTAAGAATCCGTCTTTGTTCGTTTCCTCCGTCTCACTGCCACGAGGTAATCGGACTAACTCCTTTGGGAAATAAATAAATTCAGGGTTGCATATTATCAGAATATTTTGAACGTTGAAAAGACGTGCACTTCAAAATGATACAAAAAACACAGACCCATACACACAAAGTGCCCTCATGCGTACAAAAGTTGAAGTCCTGTTTGGCTCTAGAAGCACAACAGGCCCTGGATGTGAAGCGGTGGAAGTTTTCTACACTGGAACATACGTGAAAACACTTACAGGCAAACACGCCGTCCCCACCCGACCCTGCTGCTGCGTCTGTATGAATATGATTCTGTCGACTAGAGCTAACACGCTACAACATACAGCCTCCACGTTCTGCTTTCTTATCCTATTGCAGAACAGTCACCACTCATTTAAAACCTCCTGGGTGCAGAGCAGCAGTGCACAACAAACACTGCAGGGACATACAGCACGTACGCAGAAGCAGTGAAGCTCCTTTACCTTCCTGTCTCCTCCTCTTTACCGCTGCTCAGCTCCTGAACCGAAGCAGCATCGACAACAGAATATTTCACAGTGTCGAACACACACGGACTCAAATACAGATTTTTGCAAATAAAACTCATGATGCTTTGGAGTCTTTCTTAAGACAGTCAAGAGCAACAGGGCGAAAAAACAACAGCTTTACAGAACATCGAGCATCCAGCAGTGATTGGATCTTATCTTGACACACGCAGGTTTCTTAAACACGTTTCAGCCTCCTACTCAATGAATCCTCTTCAGCTTTTTAACCAAACCTTGGACAAAGCAGGCGATCGAAACAACATTATCCCCTTTAGATCCTTCACACGTCTGCTGCAGGTGGAGAGAATATTACGTCTGTATATGTGATCAACATTCTGCACACCTGTGACAAAACAATTATCATTCACCAGGACCACGCCCCAACAGGAAGTGAGTTAAAGGTCTGAAGGGAAGTCGATATATTGGATGTGGAGGAGAAGATGCATTTGGAAGGAGGCACCTTGTGGGGGGGGGGATATCATTCCACCCGAGATAATTACAGATCCCCCAGATAAAATGAGACATGAGAAGGGATGAGGGAGGGAAGAGAGGATGAAGAGATGAGGGATGAAGGGATGGGTGTATAGGGATAAAGGAAGGAGGATGAGGGAAGGAGGATGAGGGAAGGAGGATGAAGGATGGAGGATGAAGGATTAAAGGATGAGGGAGGAGGATGAAGGATTGAAGGATGAAGGATTGAAGGATGAAGGATTGAAGGGATGGGTGTATAGGGATAAGGGAAGGAGGATGATGGATGAGGGAAGAGGATGTACTGATGAGGGTGAGGATGAAGGATTGAAGGGATGAAGGAAGGAGGATGAAGGATTGAAGGGATGAAGGATGAAGGAAGGGGGATGAAGGGATGAAAGGATGTGTGTATAGGGATGCGGGAAGGAGGATGAAGGGATGAGGGCGGGCTCTCTTCTTTTCTCTTTCTCCAGGGAGGGTAAGAAGAGGATGGGATGAAGAGGAGTGTGATGTGTTGAGCAGGTAAATGTTGACGGGTGATTGGAGGTTGAAGCGCGGCCCTGATACTGAACCTGGGTTCACTAGTTAACTAACCAGTTAACTTCATTAGTGAGAAGCCGGTTCTTTTAAAAACCTGTTTTTCTCTTTCTTTGTGTCCCCCCCCTCCCCCCTCTCCCCCCTCTGCAGCCCCGCCCCCTCCGCACTTTAACACACATCACCAGATCCAGATGAATCATGTCAGTCAATGTCCTTCACTTCCTCTAAGCTCCGGAAAGAGGAAAGAGCCTCACACAGTCACACCGAGAAAAACCTTGAGAAGAGATGAGGCTCTGCTCCTCCCCCTCCTCTTCCTCTTTCTCCTCCTCTTCCTCCTTCTCCCATCAGCACCCCTTTTCCATCTCTGCTCCTTCCTGAGGAGGAGGGACGCCATCTCTCTCCAACACCGCAGGCGACCTGCAGCAAACCAGCTTAGACTTTATTTATACAACACTTTACATATAAACACATGTATATACACATATACTTCACATGAATACCTCCACACACACACACACACACACATATATATAAAACCTAAAATATATTGTGGTTTAAAAGGCAAATAATCTGAAAATAATAAAGTAAGTGAATCTGAAAAAAACCCCAAATGATAAAACAGGCTAAGATTTAAACGAATGGACAATCAAATAAATTAAAATCAACTGAAGCCGTATAAAAAAGGTTGGTCTTCAGTTTGTGTTTCATGAACTTGAGCAGATTGTGAAAACGTGAATAAATAAATCACTTCCTCAACACGGCGAGCTGTTAGATCACCTGAGGTGGAGGAAAACGTCTCATGACAAAATGTGCACGAAGAGAATGGCCAGGCCGATGTTGAGCAGGATCACCATGCAGATCATGATGGTGTTCGGGCCCTGGAAGAACAGAGTGTGCCGTGAGGACAGTGAATTCAGAGGAAGTGTGACTTCGGTAAACTGTTGGAATTATGGATCATAACACTAAGAATCAGATCGTGGATCAGATCAACAAATATATCTGTGCTGTTTAATAATCGAACTCTGGACGTGTGTTTACCTCCAGCTCCAAAGACTCAGCGGTTGCCTCATGACACGAGTTTGACACAATGGCCTTCAGTCGATTTTCTACTTTGGGATCCACCTTCGGAGTCGGTTTGGCAACAATGGGTTTGGCTTCCACTTGCCTCGGTGGTGTTTTGGGTTCAGGGGTGGGTGCAGGTTTTGGGGACGGAGCTGGGCTGGGTTGCCGTTTCGGTAACGGCTTTGTCTCCGCTTTGCTGGACGGCCTGCTCACCTCCCTGGACTCCACTTTGTGCTCGGACACGGAGGGCGCTGGCTCGGGGACTGAAGGGGCTCTCTCGGGTTTGATCTCTGCAGGTTTGGGCTCGGGGGTGACAGCTCTGGGTGCCTTGGCAGAGGGACGCGGAGCTTCTTCTTCATCGTGAGAGATGAGGCTATTCCTTACAGGGGCCACCGGAGCGATGTCCGGAGCTTTTGACTCGGACTCAAACTTCTGCAGGGGCTTGATCTCCAGGTCGGAGCCCTGCTCGTTCTTGCTGCTCTGACGGCTGGGGGTACGAGAGGGGCCGCGGCTGCTGGGCCCCCCTCCTCCTTCAGGGGCAGCTGGAGCAGAGATAGGGTTTGAAGGGGTGGTGGGGCGACTACTGGGCCGGCTGTTGGGTTTACTGCTTCCTTTACTGCCACCACCTTTACTGGATTTGTCTTCATTCCAGCTTCCCGGACTGAGGAGTTTAGGCTCTTCCTTGCTGATGATGCCCGGGCTGGGGGAGGGCGTGCGGCCTGGAGAAGAGCCAGGCATGAGGCTGTCCAGTTCATTCATGAGGGGGCTCTCGGGCGGAGTCGGCAGGGGCTCCTCCTCAGCCAACAGCGGCTCATGCATGACAATGTCTGTGTTCTCGCTGCCCTCCACCACCTCCTGGAACACCCTCTTCTTCAGATACTCAGGACCTGTGTGAGACCAGTGCGTTCACCAGGTTAGTTTATTCTCATCCATTATTTCACAGTCAGAGCAATGATCACTGCTTCGCTCTGAACAAAAGTACATTTACTCAGGGGCATTTGTATTTTACTTCCCATTTTACACTACTTTATACTTATATATATTTAATTCCTCCAGTTTATATTTTGTACTCAATCAAAATAAGTGTTTATCCATCGCTTTATCGGAAAAGTGCGACTTGTTTTTTGGACAACAGATATTAAAATGCACCTTTCCTACACAGACAGAGTATCAATATATATCAGCTCCTCGCAGTTTATTTTCTGAATTGTGAGGCCGCACCATTGTTTTCCCCAGTGAAAATAAACCAGATGGTGCAGACACTGACACATGATGTACGCCTGTGTTGCTTTCTCCTTGGTAAGAGATCTCTCACGGAGGAATGCACAGCAGAACCTCGTCCATTTGTTGCGTTAGTCACAGACCATGCAGGAAGCCAGCTCGCTGGATGTGTCTGATCCCTGTAAGCTCTCTGCTGAGGGAGAAAGCAGGAGGAAAATGCAAGAGGCTCCAAAATGGCTGCTCCTGCTGTTGTGTGAATGACTGTTGCCAGAGAGAATGAAACTGATATGATCCCTTCGGCCCAATAAGACGTTCCTTTTTTAGACATTCAAATGCGACCAATCTTGTCGGAGGATCTACCAGCACAAGCCGGAGGGACGTACAGGGACAGAAATATAAAATCTATGGCGGTCGTGGGCGTGTGTGTGCACAAAGGTACACAGATGAAAGAAACTGAGAGAGAGAACTTCTTTGAGTGACACTTACAGGAACACACACTCCTGCAACTGAACCTATGAGGTGCGACTGTCGGCGTGGACGGTAAAAACGAGCTATTTGTATCCACATATAAACATTCATGTCACACAGGGTTTTATTATATGTAAATATGAACATCCTATCAGAAAAGAAAATATATACAGAAAAGAAAGTGCTATGAAAATATCCCTAATGTTAGTATATCTTTCATTTCCTTTCCATTTTGCAGAACTCCTCCCACATTGATTCTACTGACCTGGTTGGTAGAAGGAGGGGGAGAGCTCTTTAGCGACCAGTCGGGCGATGCTGGACTCGCTGTTGGACGCCTGAGACGCTTGTTCAGCTCCGTCTGACTTGGCCTTTGCGTGGGTCGTCCTGCAGGGGGGGACAAAAGCAACACAATTGATGTTATTGCATAAAACTGCTCACATGAGGTCACAGTGACCTTGACCTTTGACCTCCGACTACTCAATAGTTGTACTAATTGTGAAGTGATTCTCTGAGGCTTTGTTAATCTAACACGTTCCTGAGGGAAAAAAAGGTCACAGCGACCTTGACCTTTGACCTTCAAAATCAAATCGGGTCATCCTTGAGTAACATCAGCACCAAATTTGAGGGAAATCCCTCAAAGAGTTCTTCAGGTGACGTTTTCCAGATGCAAAATGTGTGAATCTGTGCAAAATGTGAGGAAATTCCCTCAAAAACACGGAACGGACACACGACCTGAAAACTCAGTGCCGCTGGCGCAGAGACAGTGAAGCATCAGAGGGAAAATAAAGGGATTACCAACATTATTGGGATTTCAGCAGCGTGGACATCCAGCCAATGGTTGAGTTATTTCAGTCTGGACCAAAGTGTAAAAACCTGCAGCTGAGAGTTCAAGGCTGCAGTTTGTTCCACATTCACTGAGAGAATTGGTGATTGTGATTACTCTGTGGATACTTGTCATTCTGTAACTTTACACTGAGCTGAGAATAGTCTCCCAGTCCACTTGAAGACTCAGCGGGGGAAGTCGCTTCCCACTGGAACAATTAGAGACTCCTGGGGTTTTACTGTTTGATCGATGAGCTCCACCTGTCCACAGACAGTCCGCACCTCCTCTCTCACAGACACCTTCACCACCACACACGTTAAAACCGAAACAGTCATTTCACACTGAATTGTAAGAACATCAACAAGGTTTCTGATGCAACTTCCAAGAAACAGTGGAAAACCACAACGACACATTTGTCCTTGTGGGTGTGAATCAATCAATAATTCCTTATTTGCTCATCTCGGCCTTAACTTTTACATCTAATAATGTGTTTGTACCAATCGTCGGGCGCATGCAGATGTTTTAAAAGCTCGTTTTAAGTGGCCCAACGAGGAGAAATGAGAAATAACACTTCTTCTTTAACAAAGAAATCCTCAAACAAATGTTTCTCAAAGATGGTTTCTGTAATTTTAGCTCGTTCTTATGACACTGATGTTCAAGTCTTTAAGGTGACGTTTCAATTTGGTTCGTTAGTCGGACTGTTTGTGTTTCTGGACTTTCACCTTGTTTATTGTTTCTCAGTTGTTTCCTGTTTAATTTTGAAACTCACCACTGGTCACTTCCTCTTGTTTCCTGCTTCCTTGGTCACCTGCTCTGATGTGTCTCACCTGTGTCTCTCCTGCCTTCAGTGTTTCCTTCCTGTGTCGTCACTTAAACTACTTGGTTCCAGCGTCCTCTGTCGTGACGTGAGTTTTGCCTTTAGCCTGTTGTTGTGGATACTTTTTGTTGTGTTGGATGGCTTCCTGTGTTCTGCACTCTCTGAATTAAATGTTTTGATTTTTGAGCCTTAACATTCCTCTGCGTCTGCTTTTGCTCAATCTCACGATGTTGTACGTCACTTTTGAGTCTCCGCTTTGTATTCCAGCACTTTGAACCCCTCGCTCAGAGAATCACGATCCAGGTTTAAAACAAAGGGGGGGATCGTTTATGGTTTTAGCTCCGACGCTGTGGAAAACCATCAGATCAGCAGAATCAGTTAAAAAGGTCGTTAAAAACTCACCTCGCATTTTCATTGTTTTCATTTCTTTTTAAATGTTTTATTTGATTATGATTTGATTCTTTAGTTTCATCGTATTACTGAGTGTGATCTGTCCTTTGTTTTGTGAAGCACCTTGTAGCTCTGTAACTCTTTTAAAAGGTGCCAAATAAAGTTCATTATCTTTATTAAGTCTACAAATTAAAAGGATTCAACCATAAACATTTTCAGTCGCGTCCCTGTACATTGTATAACTGCTGCAGTCTGTCTGTCCTCCAGAGTTCCTCTGCAACCAAACATGACATTTGACACTGTGACCTAAATACCCCTTATGCTTTTAGGGTCGCCTTGAGGAGATGCCCCTTGCACACATGAGACATCAGCTGCAGAAAGAGACTCGGTCCGGTCTTCACCACCCACAGCTTGTATGAGATCACAGAATAATCTGTACCATAAATCTTTATCTGTAACGTATATCCTGTGCAATAAAAGCCTCTGTTCCTGCAGGTCCTACTGTCCTGCTGGTTTGTCACCATCTGTTTCTCGTCACGCTGCAGTTGTCCTGGAGCTGCTGATGGCAGGAGATATTCTGTCATTCTGGCATGTGCCACTGGATCTGTGTGGAAGGTCCTGTTCCAATGTGCAGTGTGTGTGTGTGTGTGTG